CACAGTCAATATAAAAGAGAACAGAAACAAAAGAAATATGAACATAATTAGACAGCATGGTAAACTGTACATTACAAAAACACAAGAGAACATAAACCTGCACATTGTTGGGTTACAGTAATTGTCAGAGGCTTGGTAAGTAAAGAGGTATCTGAGCTTATATACGGGGGGGGGGGGGGGGGGGGGGGGGGAGGAGGGGGGGGGGGGGGGGGGGAGGGGGGGGGGGGGGGGGGGGGGGGGGGTGCGGGAAAAGGGTGTGAGGAAGAAACTACCAAAGGGAGAGTGATCCCATGGTTCCTAAATAGATCGAAAATGGCCTGAGTAGTCACCCACTAAAGCTGTAAGATATTCCATTTCTCTGATTTCAGAGATCGCTTTTAAAAGATGATTTAGTGTGGGGACATTGATTGATTTCCAGAATCGTGGTATCACCTGTTTAGCAGCCATCAGAATATGTATTCCCAATCTCTTAGATTGCTTAGAGATACCCCTAAAGGGTAGCCCCAAAAGATAGTGTAATGGATCTAGGGGAAGGGTAACATTGAGTACTTGCTCCAAGCCCATTTTAACCGTAGCCCAATAACCCGCAATCTGTGGACAGAACCAAAAGATGTGAGCCAAGGTGCCTACTCCTCCCATGCACCTCCAGCACCTGTCAGACAGATTTGGGTTTATTGCATGAAGCACTACAGGGGTCTTGTACAAATGCATCAATATTTTATTTAAATGTTCTTTATACACAACACAACTAGAGGTTTTAGTAACAGAGTCCCAAATCATCTGCAAACATTTCAGAGAGATTGGTCATTGAAGTTCGTCTTCCCATCTCCTCATATAATGGTGGGGGTTGTCAATAGGAGGACCGCTATTGAGGAGTAGTTTATATAAAGAGGTGATAAGATGTTGTTGGGAGGGACCTTTAGCTGCTATCCTCTCAAAATCTGTTGGGGCGGGCTAGAGTCAGAGAATGCTAAGGTGTTTTATTGTTAGAGCAACTTTATTTTTTCTCTTACACAGAGTGACCCAGAAACTGTATAATCACTTCCGACTTTAGTCTCTTTTTTTGATATGCATACATGTTCCATCTCATTAACTCAAAAATCATGAAAGCCAATGGGCAGCATAACAGCCAAGGCTATTCACAATTTTCATTCATCAAAACTTGTGTATTGTGCTGCATGAAAAAATGGATTGCAAGTAGAAGTTCCATTCTTTTGTCTAGTCTGTATCTATGCGTTGGAGTGTAGGCTAAAATGGAAAAGGAAACTAAATGGGCCTGATCATACTTGGGCATTACCATGAGCACTTCCACATAGGGAATATAGTGAATCTGGCCTTAAAGCAGACCTTCCCCCTCTTGCTTTATATGAAACTACTAACTATTAAAGAAATTAGTATTGTAAAATCCCTATATACAATTATTATTGCTTGTTTGATTTATTTCAATCTTATGGTAATGCTCCTATTTTCCACCTCATGGTTACCCACATTGCCATTTTAAAAGTTGATGTCATAGGTGGCTGTCGGTTTCTGTGCTTTTTGTGCCGGCCCACCAATGATGCCAAGGTCTGATTTTGCACATGTACTGTATGAGATTTGGTGTGGTTTTGTTATGGTTTGTACATTGCCAAGGCTTTAGCAATGCTGCCTAACATTGATGTTGCTGAAGCCATCTCAATATATAATCAATAGCAATGTCACAAAATGTATGATTGTGCAACACAAAATGTTGTGGCACCCTCCTAGTGTAATGTAGTTTGTTAGGCAAATTTATTAGCTCCTCTGTAATCAATGGAGCAGGGGTTGATTGTTCAGGCCTGCTCAGTGTCTCAAGGGCTGCTGCTTTGATCGCTTCCCCCTGAATTCTAGAGAGGATTCTAGAATTATAGTGGGGGGAAGAACAGAATCAGCCTGAATATTTATGCAACTGCAGCCAATCCCTGGGGATGTGTGCCCAGAAGGTGGTCGGGGCAGGATTGCTGGAGGTGCCTAGACTAAGAAGACTTCGAAGGTCCCATCTAAGCCTTAGCTGGGGACTTATTCACAAGCCTAGTCTCGGATTCGGTTTGGATCTGGAGAAGCTCACTGGAGAGTGCCAGGAGGAAATTGGGGGGAAAGTGTCTAGCTGTCCTATGGTGGTGTGAGTCTGCATCTCCCTTACTGAGAAGAGCCTGGCGGACATCAGAAGGGGGCAACTGATGATCCTGTGGCTGTGTGAATAGATGACCCAAGTGCTGGAAAGATAGTGACTGTGTGTAGCTTTCGGTCTCTGGGAGAAGTCATAGTTACCATCAGCATTAGAGATTCTGTGGGACATTTTTGTACAGTTCAGCAAGACAGAGGAGTCCTCAAAGTGTGCAATTCATTAGTTTTGGGGTATCCCATACTCCCTTCACCTCATTTCATCATTCCAATAAAACTCTAAAAAGACACCCCCAGACTGTTCCTTCAAGCCAATAGAAGAGTGAAGTGTGTGTGCTTTGACTGGGGGAAAAGGAAACAAGTTCACCAGCGGCTCTTTAGGGGGTGTGCTACAATGTCAAAAGCAAAATGTGCATCTATATACTTCATAAACAAACAGGAACCAAATAAATATTTATCAACCAGTCTCACATACATTTATATAAGAATAAAAACAGTATCATTTAGAGCAATTAATGGCAATTTAAATGTGTCCTGAATATAATAAAAAAGTGACATGTTTATAAGGTTAAGGGTATGAAATATTATTAAATGCTGGCTGCTCATCCACACAGAAGTTTTTTGATAATGTGGTTGCACAATTTCTTTGGGTTAATAACAATGTTACCTCTGGGAAAAAAAAGATTTTCCATTAAAGCGGATCTTTCTCCCCAAGCCTAAAGGCCACAGGTATGGCTGCTCTACATGCTGATCCATATAGTACCTGTTCAATACACATATAAATTAAAAGATTGTTTTGTGAACTTAAATTTTAATCTGATTGTACTTCCTGTTTCCCCAATCATTTTCCAGGTCAGCCACGTGAAACATCATTAGTCCTTCCCTCTATAGGAAACACAAGCCAACAGATTAAAAAGGTTCTCCCCCCTTTTTCCTCAATTGACTTTAAAAGTAAAATACTGCCACTAGTGCATGAGGAAAAACTTGAACAATTCCATTCAAGCCCACAAAAGGGTGAGAACTAGGAATGCTGTAATGGAACATTCCTAGGAATGCCATTACCAATAATACTAACATGGAATTTCCGCAATCTTCCAGGTCAGCCACATGAGTGAATAAGCAAGTAGACAAACTCATACCTTAGGCCAGGAGGTCACTCTTCCTGCCAAAAGGCTAAGTCTTGTTACAAAAGGTCCTCCACGTTGTAATGCTTGATGAAGGGTGTCATGCTTAGGCCATAAGTAGATCCCCAATGCTCCTGTTCTCTGCACCACAATGTGGCCTGGGAACATATAGAATGTTCCGTAACTGAGGATGGGAACAGACAGTCATCTGCTCTATAGATAGGAGTTTCCAACCCATCTAGCCACTGAACATTAAGTTGCCTAGAGCTTCTTTCTTGATCTACTTAAGAGAATCAGAAGGTGACAGGATCTTCTGAAACTTTTAGTGGATTCCAGATATTATATAAGACATCCTTGCCATTTATGGGATTCTCAAAACACGACAGTAAAATGGTATCATGACTTCAGTAGTAGTAAAAACTACCTTAGGTTACACAAGATACAGCTAAGGCTAGAGTCAAAGAGGAGGCTGTTGCATCCCATGTCCTACCAAGTAGGGTTTTTACCTTCCGGTCCATCTGGTCTTTGATGACCCCTGCATCCGCAAAGGATAAATCAGAATTTTTGAGAATTGAGCTAGGGCTTCATCAAGTTTAGACCAATCACATTGCACCTGCACATCTGTCAAATTAAGACATGCGGCTGTGTTCGTACAGCTGCTGTGTCCCCATGGAGTAACAGGTGGCTCCAGATGCACAAACCGCTCATTCGCCCTGTGAATGAGACAGAGGCTTCTGTTCATTCACAAACTTAAGCGTAGTAAACTATGTTTACTACACTTCAGGTATGAATGAATAGAGTGAGTGATAATAGCAATCACTCACTCTGTTCATTCAGACAAGGAAGGGGCCAGTAAATGACATATTTACTGGCCCCGTCCCCTGCTCTCCATCCTGACACATCCTTCGCAGCAGCTGGCAGGAGAGGAGGGAAGTCAGCAGTGCTGCGGGGGGATGAGGGAGGGCAAGGGGAGCACGTGGGGTGGAATGAAGAGCAGGGGGAATCTGACAGTCAGGGGGTTATCGTGTAGTGGTGGTGGTGGGGGGAACATTTATAAGACCCCATCCCCTTGTACTGCTCTCCATGAAGCAGCTAAAAGCTACAGAAGCTGGAGGAGGAGAAGGGGCTTTCAGCTGCTGCACAGAAAGCCAAACAGGGAGAGCGTTTTTTCTATTTGCACCCCGTCACACCAAACCCCCCCCCCCAGTTGCAGAGTCCCCCTATTGTGGGTGTTTTCTGTACATTTTGGCAGTGTTGCAGATTCCCCCACTGCTCTGCACCGCAGGTGACAGCTGAGGGAAAGTGTATATAGGGCACTTAGAAAAGTATTGCTTCCTGTGTGCCCTTGCACTGAGATGTGTTTTTTTCATATGCTGAAAAAATCAGCTCTCTGCTATAGTGTGAATAGGCCCGTAAGCATGGCACAGATCCTGAGAAAACAAATGTGATCACTGAATACCATTAGGACTTTATTTCATGGATCCTTGGTGTGCTTCCCCATACACTTTGTCTTATGGTGTCAGTCTCCATCTGGCAGCTGCTACAGCAGCATCTTATTTCTTGCCTTTTAAAAACACGTGCAATAGGAATATTATACAAGGCTTCCTGATGCCCATGTGGCTCCACCACCTGCAGAATTAACCTCTACACATCTAACCACCAGTACAAGAAAAAACAACAAACGTTTTAGTGTAGTGCTGGATAGTAAGACCCACAAACTATGGTATGAGGGGGTGGAAGGGGCATTTTAACCTGCTGAATTGTGTTTCATGTAGGGTAGAGGTCGACAAACTTTCTTACCAAAGGGGGCCAGATTACTGTCCTTCAAACTATAGGAGGTCCAGATTGTGGCCAGTGGGATTAGAACATGCATCAGGCTTGGTGGTAAGCAGGGGTAAATAAAAAAATTACATACTGCCTGTGGGCAACAGGAGGAAGAATAGTGTCTTCTCATTGGTATTAGGGGGAAGGATAATCTCCGTTTTTTATGTCAGTAGGAAGAGTAGTGCCCCATCATTGGTATTAACAGGAGGAGGAATAGTGCCCCATCATTGGTGTCCATGGAAGGAATAGTGCCCCATCATTGGTGTCAGTGGGAGGAATAGTGCCCCATCTATGGTGTCAGTGGGATGAATAGTACCCCATCACTGGTGTCAGTGGGAGGAATAGTGTTTCATCATTGATGTCCATGGGAGGAATAGTGCCCCATCATTGGTGTCAGTGGGAGGAATAGTGCCCCATCTATGGTGTCAGTGGGAGGAATAGTGTTTCATCATTGATGGCTATGGGAGGAATAGATTCCCATCATTGGTGTCCATGGCGGGGGAATAGTACCCCATCTATGGTGTCAGTGGGAGGAATAATGCCCCATTTATGGTGTCAGTGGGAGGAATAGTGCCCCATCATTGATGTCAGTGGGATGAATAGTGTTTCATCATTGATGCCCATGGGGGGGAATAGAGTGTGCAGAGCTGCACACACCTGACATGTTGAACACGCACATAGATCAGCGTGCAGAGCTGCACACACCCGACATGTGGGATGAACACGTACACAGATCAGCGTGTGCAGAGCTGCACACACCCGACAAGTTGAACACGCACACAGATCTGCGTGCAGAGCTGCACACACCCGACATGTTGAACACGCACACAGATCAGCCTGCAGAGCTGCACACACCCCGACAAGTTGAACACGCACACAGATCTGCGTGCAGAGCTGCACACACCCGACATGTTGAACACGCACACAGATCAGCCTGCAGAGCTGCACACACCCCGACATGTTGAACACGCACACAGATCAGCGTGCAGAGCTGCACACACCCGACATGTTGAACACGCACACAGATCAGCGTGCAGAGCTGCACACACCCGACATGTTGAACACGCACTCAAATCAGCATGCAGAGCTGCATACACCTGTGGTTTTTATTCACAAGATGAGAATATTGGACGAACGATCGGCCGTTTTTTTTTCGCCTGCTAGTCTCACATCAAAAGGGAAAAGGTTACTAAAGATATGAAAATTCTCCTTTGAAAGAAAAGAAATTCGAAAGTGATGTCATGTATTGCGTTGTATTTGTATAGTATTTTCAGATGACTACTGTACTGATTAAACGAAAATCATGCAATCTGGTGTCGTACGAGAAAACCTTTTGCGCTTGTCCCTTCGGATATTGTCGTACGAATTGTCGTGATTGGCTCTCAAAAGCTGTGTACTGACGATCCGATTATCGGACAATTGGTCTTCGTACGATTTTCTTATAGTGTGTACGAGGCATTAGGCTCAGGGAGAAAGATCCTCTTTAATGGAAAATCAAGGAATTAACGTGCAATTATCGCCCTCTGCTGGTAGAATCAGGAAATGCAGGATATTTCAGCTGGGAATATACGTTATGTCATAGTAATATAATAATTCTTTCTTGTATTGCAATACTCTGACTCATCGAGGGCATACACCCAGCACAAAAGTAGAAGTTGCTAATAAGTACAATGATTAAGCAATAACAAGGGAGTAAGTCATTTTCCATGAAACCATAAAGGAAGTGGCTAAAAAATGACCTTCAATAAAAACAAATATACAGTCTAGTAGTCAAAAACAAATATACAGTCTAGTAGTCATAAAGAGGGTAATATGTACACTCAGGCTTGCATGTTGCATTTATACATACAAATGTTTGGCTATTTTTAATTTCTGTTCAGACTAATAGTTCATATATATTGGGTATATCATGGCAGCTTATAATATTAATGTGAATGCATAAAGTGACACTATACCCTTTTTAGAGCACTTTTAACAGCGTTTTTTTTTTACTTACAAGTATACAGCTTCTTCATCTTTTAATCCTTGCTATTGTTCCTGTTAAAGCTGGTGCCATGACCACTGCCTCAGGTTTCCTGTATCAGGGTGGCTCCTTTCTCCTGGACCATCCTATGGAGCAGGGGCGGACTGACCATTTGGAAACTTGGGCACTGCCTGAGGGCCCGGGGTCAGTAGGGGGCCCCATGAGATGCCCCTGGTACCTTTTTCATAGGCTTTTTTGAGTTTGGGCAAGGACACAGGGGCCCCATGATCCCCTATTGCCTGGGGGCCCCATGAGTTGTCAGTCCGCCCTGCTATGGAGCCATTCTTGCATGCAGTAAAGCCACTGGATACTGTGTGCATCAATAGAAACTCATAGCCTAGGATGGAAAGCACTCCCCTGTTCTTCTCTTTCCCAGGCTAACAGATTGACTGGAGCCTGTACTTCCCACTGCTTTCCTCTTTAGACTGGAAGTTCAGGGAAGCAGCACTGAGAGAGACAGGCCGTGTTCTATTGGCTTCTTCCCCAGCCACAGTGGTTGGGGGGAAAAGACCTCCCAACCCAGAATTGACCATATCCAAATTGGTGGTCTCCTTCTGTTCCAGCCACACCGGTCCCGGGTCCACAAGTGGTTCAGCAGAGTCTGGGATACGCGGCGGGAGCAGTTGGGCTGCAGGGCTTTATATTTGGTAGGCTATGGAAGTGGTTGGATGGCTGAATCACTTCCAACTGAAATCCCATTGCCTCCTGAACTAATTTAAACACGCTAATGGCTGCAAATTTATGGGGGGGGGGTTGTTTGTATATTTATTAATTTATTTTGTATTTGTTACTAGGATTCAGACTGCCAGCACCCTAGCAACCAAAGACACAGGCTGAACACTGACAGTGGGTGGAGTCTGCTAGGGATTCTGGAAGACTAGTCCCCCATCCCCTCTGCCTTCCTTGTGATTTGACAGTGGAAGGCAGTGGGTGTATTCCATAGACGCTATTGGGCTGAATCACACAAGAAGCAAACTGAATGGGGACCAAATCTCAAAGTTCTGCCATCCCAACAACTCATTTCCATGGTTGCATTTTCTGTTGGCTGGGCAGAGCTCAATGGGCAATGCTGAGACACTTGTTCTCCATCATCTCTATTTCACATAGGCAGCATTGGGCAGATTTCATAGCAGCTACTAGTACGAATGGCAGACATGGAATCTACCCACTGCTGTCCACTGCCAACCACAAGCAAAGCAGACCTAAGGAGGAACTAGTCTCTCGCACAGTGGCCAGGTAGGAGACTCAGCGGTACTGAGCTGCACTAAGCAAGGAGTGTCCAGGGCTGATATTCTGACCTCAGTGTCAGCCTCCATGTGACAGATCGTGTACCTCTATATGGCAGACAGGCCCACACTGGCCATAGGGCACACTGGGCATTTGCCCGGTGGCCCAGGACCACCATGCCCAACCCTGGGGCCGGTACCAGTCCTTGGCCTGTTGATGACTGGGCCGCATAGCGGGAGGTAAGTGGCGACCACAGTCTGGACATGGCTAACCCAAACCCACCCCTCTGCTGATAGGATGACATTGTTGTAGGGGTAGGGGACCCTGAAGAGGACACACAGGCTGAACCCTGCCTCTGCCCTGCCGAAGTAGGACTGTATGGGGGAGGCAGAGTGTAAAGGGGGGCACTGTGATTACAAAGAAAAGAGGCAGGGACATGACTGCAAGGGGCACTGTGATGGGGCACCATGATATAAAGGGGACTGACCTGCAATCATTTCAGTGCCACTTTACATTACAGTGAGGAGAACCTAAGGACCTACTGCGAATGTCCCATTACGAACCTGACCAGTGAATGCCCGCTACCCAGACCCCGGCCCCCCTGAAAAATTGACTGCTCAGTATAAAATGCCCGGGCCTAATTATTGTCTCAGATCAGGCCTGATGGCAGACACATGAATCTGTCACAAGCTCTGACAATTGTGTTTTGGAGGCCCAACAGAAAGTCTTAAGGTTGGCACACATGGATTGAAATTTGGCTGGTTCAGCAGGACGGCTGTAGCACTGATCAGTGAATTCTGACAGTGGAGGAGTCCCGCTGTCAGAATACAAGTTTGCTATCTGGGAAAAAAAAAAGCATACTGAATATACTGTATCTAGCTTTACTGCATGGTAAGACCTTCTAAGTTCTAGCCTAAACAAGCATACGCTCTTCAATGCATGTGTTTCATAGTACTGCTTTTTACTTGTGTCACCGATTAAGGTGTCACCAGCACATAGCATTCACTAATGCATAGGCTCTAGAAGAGTTCAGTCTTCACCACGGCCTTTGATGTTTAATTGGAAACCTGGCTGGGCAACAAATCCTAGAGTGTACATCTGACCTGCCTGACTGCTGACATTGAGGCAAAGCAGTTTGACTTGTACTAGGTACCAGCCAGCAAATGGTGCATGCGCACAGATAGTCTGACCAATCCAGGAGGAGGATGTGAACAGCAGATGTGACATGGCTAGATGCTTGTGGACTGCCTTTAGGGTTGCCATCTTTTGGTTTACAGAAAAATGAATTGGGGGGAGGAGGGATGATGATTGATGAAATGCACTTTGACACAAGATGGGTGTGGCGCAGTAGCGCAGTAGGCCAAAGAGATAAATCCCATGAACTTCAAAACCTCAATCTTAAAATAATTTGCCTTTGTACTTGCCCCTTGAATAGCCCTCGCCTCTTCTGCGAGGGTCAAGTGTTTAAAACTCCTTGTACTTCGCCTCTTCTGCGAGGGTCTAATACATCACTACAGCGCCATCAAATCCCTGCAAAGCCCCCCACTCATGTGCTGTTTTTCTCTGCGAGGGTCTAATACATCACTTCCCACAAATCTTTTTTTCCTATTCACTTGTAATAGCCCTCGCCTCTTCTGCGAGGGTCTAATACATCACTACAGCACCATCAAATCCCTGCAAAGCCCCCCACTCCTTTCATGTCATAGCCCTCGCCTCTTCTGCGAGGGTCTAATACATCACTACATCGCCATCAAATCCCCGCAAAGCCCCCCCACTCCTTCCATGTCATAGCCCTCGCCTCTTCTGCGAGGGTCTACATCACTAATCGCCATACAAAGCCCCTCACTTGCAGTCATAGCCCATCAAATCCTACAGTGCCATCAAATTCCTGCAAAGCCCCCCAACTCCTTGCGTGTCATAGCCATCGCCTCTTCTGCGAGGGTCTAATACATCACTACAGCGCCATCAAATCCCTGCAAAGCCCCCCCCAATCCTCTTGCATGTCATAGCCCTCGCCTCTTCTGTGAGGGTCTAATACATCACTACAGCGCCATCAAATCCCTGCAAAGCCCCCCCACTCCTTGCATGTCATAGCCCTCCCCTCTTCTGTGAGGGTCTAATACATCACTACAGCGCCATCAAATCTCTGCAAAGCCCCCCAATCCTTGCATGTCATAGCCCTCGCCTCATC